TATAACGCCAGCGCACCAAGGTAAGTGGCGAATCAAACCAGCTCCGATACCAAATTGCAAGGAACATGAATATGGACGAAGCACAGAAATCCAGATTGCAAAATCACACTGAAGTCCAAGTAGTCAAAGCAAGAGCAGATAGCACAATGGAACCGAGTAACCATCCATTTGAGAATGATACAGAAGAATCGTGAGTCAATGTCCAAGCCCAACAGGGCAACATCAACAGCATAACTCAATGTAGCTCTCTCCCTTGAATGGCGCCAGGCGCCCTACCTACTCTACAGCCTAACACTACAACTACAGTATGAAAGCAACCAGACAACTTGACAACCAGCGAGTGATGATGTCAACACCAATGCCGACCTCCCACCTCCACCAGGTACGTCTCCTCCTTCACCCACACTCTCCCTTGTTATCCCACACAGCGCCCTTCACCTCCGAAGAACCACCTTCGCCCTCACCTCCCCTGCGCTCTCAGGCAGCCCGGCTATGGCCGCCAGCGCCCTGTGTACAGGCAGCGCCCTACCGCCTAGCGCCTGCCTGTCTCGCACCTCAGCCTAGCGCAGCGCAGCACCTTGCGTTTGCGCAGCATGCCGGCATTGCCCGCAATGGCCAAGATCCCTGCCCACTCGCCCTGCTTGCCTATATGCCAGTGTTGCGTGTGGGCGGCCTCCCTTGAGCCTGTGCCTGGGCCCCAGTGCCTGTACCCAGGCCCGATGCAGTTGGGGGGACCCAGGAGATGCAGTTGCGCCTTTTTCGTCAAGGCCTGCGGCCAGATTCAGATAGTAGACCGGTTTCCCTTTGGCATTTTCGGCCTCTATATCCAGCATGCATTGTCGGCCTCACGTTTATGTGCCCAGGGCCTAACCAACGCGGGGCCCTGGGATTTCTGCATTTGCAGAGCTCCGATACTCGGTGCACACCAACCAACTGGCGTGCTGCAACTGTATGGACCCCACTTCGTGAAATGTTTGCACAGAGGGCTCTTGTTGATTTGCTGGCCCGCCTTCACTTAGGGCGGGCCCTAGGCTTGCTGGGGCCTTAGCCCAGAACATGTACATCATGGCAAGGCCCCTTCTTGAGGGCTCAATCCTCACAAAAGTCTGTTCGGATGAACTGCAAGTCCGAAACGACGCCTGAACAGACAAAAATAGGACAGCAAATAAGTAAATAAATAAATAAATGATCAAATTGAATCCTGCGGCCTAAGGCTGCCTGTGGGCCTCCAGGGCGCATGCCTGAATGGCGTGCGGCCTTGGGGCCCCCAGCAACCGACGGGGCCCGTGTGCAGGCTCAGCATGTAACATAGATAGTATGACGTGAAATTGAGAGAAGAATGTAGCGTACAGCTGTCATGTGGATGTGGAGTGACGAGGGCGTAAGGGCCATTAATTGGTTGTTTACTGGTGTGATGTTTTCTCTGCAGATTGATTCAATTCAAGTGATTGTACAAAAAATTCAGCAGTCAGTGGATGAACTCCAGAGATACGAAAGTGTCAACATGAAAGCCTGGGTTGCTTACATTGAGCAACAAGTGGAGGGAATTCTTCTGCAGCGCCTTTCTGCTGAGGTCACTCACTGGAGCTCCAGCTTTGACCACAGTGTTCTAAGTCTATATCGAGCATCATTGCAGGTAACTCCCTATCCAGGGAAGAAAGACGGGGGTGGGGTAGTGGGAGGACGAGGAGGGAGGGGGTGGGGAGGGGGTGCGGTGTGGATGGATTTCCAATGGAATCAAAAAGATTTGCCTGGTTTGGTGCATAACATTGGTTTTGCTTTGATGTGAGAGAGCTTGAAATCTGGTCTCTCTATACTGGCACATCATGGGGCGCCATTCCCTTGCATTGTTCTCATGTTTTCTTAATCAGTTTGATCCCATCAGGGTTCGGACTCCTGTCCTTCTAATTGCAATCAGACTCGTTCTCTAACACACTCCTCATGCATGTAAACAGCAACGCATCATACTGGCGACATGCGCCCAAAGAAAACTCAGAGATATGGCTTCAAGATACGAGTTCACTCTCAATTAGCTATGGCGACTTCAACGCCCACACAACTCACTGTCTACACAGACTGGATCACCCTGGATATCCCACAMGCATCACTCTAACACTCGAACACACACACACACACTTCCTACTAACTACAGCTATGGCAGCTATGGCTGCCACTAACCTATCACTATGCTAACTCCCTCTCTCTTGCCCACTGCGACCTCCGGGCCCATCTGCAGACCTCCTTGCACAAGTCGCTGTGGCAGCGCTTCTGCATGGCTCCCGCAGGAATGAGTGAATGGCTGGGCGCTGCTTCTTGATTTATACTTCAGAAACTCGTTGGTCTGCCCTTTGCCATCGGCCCTTGGTGCTTACAGTCCCCCTGTGGTACTTGCTGGACCGGACTGGGACTGACTGGACCTTCTGTTGACCGACTGTGGACTCACCGCTATCCTACCGACGTTGCACTGCTGTTGCACTGCGGTTTAGTCCACCACTTGCCTCACCACTTGACCACTTGCCCACTTGCCTACCTTCTAGAAGGTCTACAGCTAAGCTTCCGGAACTCACTAAGACTCCTACGCTATAGACCTACAGATCGAACCCCTGCTGCCTATGGACCCACGACAAGCGTACCAACTGCCTACGAATACACAGGTCACAGGTTCAATTCCCGGGGTCTACACAGATACTGTACATGGGTAAGGTGAGGTCTAGGGATCGAACCCTGGGTACTGCATCCGCTACTGCTAAAAGGTGAAAACCATTTCACTCCCGCCGTCCTAAATTCGAGGTCCTCCGAGAAAATTTCAGTCCAAGGCGGGACCTTTACCTTTCTTGTCACGCTCATAGGCTCTGACTATGTCGGGAGCAGTCTCTAGAAGTTCTACTTTCGTGAACCAGCGGTCGTCTTCCGGTTCATGATAGGCAAACCGGACTTTATACTGTTTCTGGGGACGACCTCTACCTCCTGTCCTAAACACATCCTCTTCTACGATGCCCTCTATGTCATAGCTCCCATCCATATCCGGTGGGATCATGGATCTCCTGGAGGGGAACTGTTGACTAGTGACACACGACAGCAGCTTTGAAGCATGGAACACAGGGTATGTGTGGAGGTGTGCTGGAATCTCAATCCTGTAGGACGGTCCGTCCTCTCCGCCCTTGACTTCTAGAACCGGCCACGGTCCTCTATATGCAGGTAGTAATTTCTGCGAGATGTTTTCTTCCGGTGCAAACTCTTTTGCTTTGACCCAGACTAAGTTGCCTACTTGAAACTGCGATGGGCGTCGGTGCTTGTTAGCCTGTTCTATCATTCTGTGCTGGGCCTTCCGAAGGTTCTCAACAACAGTGGCTAACTCCTTTTCGTGTTGTATTGCAAACTCCCTGGTACTGGGCGGTAATCTGTGAATCCGATCCCGGTTCAGTCCTTCGAACAGTCTGCGCGGTCTAAAGGACTTGTGCTACTCGTTGGGAGTGCGGCAGGTGGATAGATGCACGTTGTTGTTGTACACACTAGCGACCTTGGGCAACATCTCATCCCAGTTGATCTGATCTGGTCTAATATACATGCGCAGAACTTGCTGTAGGATCTTGTTCATCTGTTCTGTCTGACTGTTAGTCTCTGGGTGACGGTCGGACGACATTAACAACTTAGATCCGTAGACTCTCATGAGTTCTTGGCAGTTCTGGCTGGTGAAACGACTATCTCAATCACTAACTATTGACAATGGGATTCCATTCTCACTAACCCAAAAGTCAAAGAACTTCTGTATTACTAAATCTGTACGTGCCTCCGCAGGCAAAGGAACAAAAACTGCATACTTACTAAAACGGTCGACTATGACCATGACTTGGCTCTTACCATGTCTGCTCTTGACTTGTGTGTCCAT